AAGATTGACTTGTTCAAGATTTCCAAAACTTTGCTGCAAGGTGGCAAGGACAGGGTTGAAAATCGCAGCAGGGGCTCTGCCAGGCCGACCTATGTGTATGTCAGGCTCTTCCCTGCTAAATACCTCCTTCAGCAGGCGGGGTTCCTTGTCAAGGAACCCCGCCTTGACTAGTTCCAACAGTGAAAGAAGGGATAAACGATTATTTAAACAATCATTGAGGGCTAAGGCATAAATGAGAAAGGTGAGTAGCTATAAGATGCCAGCATAATGCCCACCTTTCTTGACCTTCCTTTTATACGCATCATACAGAACATCCAGACCATCAACCAGCTCCAGAATTGACACAAGTCAGCAAGATAGAACTGAAGGATAGAGGTGATATCTAGCGTCAAGTTGTTGGTCGGATGCGGGTCATGAGGAAAGACCAATTAAAGACTTGTCATAACCTTGAACTGACTATCAGCTGGTTGCCCATGAAGCCACTGAAGGGCATGCTTCTGCAGAGTTTCTGTAAGTTCAATGGCAACATCCATCTGCTGTGGGTTAATTGGGTGTGTACCAAAGAAAAAAGAATTTACCTTGAAAAGACGGAGGTCAGGACATATAAACTCGCGACCGTCCTCTTTTGAGTTGCACTGCAATCGCCTTCAATAGTTCCGTGGTCCATGCATCAGAAACTATCTTAATGGACAAGAAAAGAGGCTTTTCTGCAGGAAAGTAGCAAGCGAATGTGACCGACATCGCGATTCGTTGGACGCATGAATAGGAGAACTCAAAAAGAGGTAGCCGACCAGGCCACGGAGCATCCCATGAGGTCGTGAGATTTATCACGTGGATTCCGAGAATCACAAATCCCCTTACGGAAATTGCCAGTAGGGGTAAGCAATGGCATGAATCTGATCGAGGGGGAGTGGACGGATTTCAGGAACGGCCTCATTAATTCATTACCAGGTCTGACGTGAGGATTGATTAGCCAGTCCAATCGAAAGACTAAAAGCACTGCTGGTGGAAATGCTACGGACACTTGAACACTTCCGATTGCATAATGAATTTTCCCTGGAACTGTGATACATATGATATATCACAAATAACTGTTGCTCACAACGCGTTCAATCTAACTATTCTATGGATACATGCAGCGTGTAGATGGCATTAAATAAAAGAGAATATAAAATAGCAGTCATAGCCAGACCCACAATCACTCTAGCTTTAAATTCCACGGTCCAGCATCGCTCATTTGACATCCCCCAGGACACGGGCATTCACACTCCCCACCAAAATGCTCCTTCGGCAAACAATCTCCAGGAATCTGCTCCAATACAACCTCCCTAAAATGCCCGCCGAGGATCTTAATCTTCCTCGCCGTAACCTCATCCAACCACGGCCTGATCACCCGCCACACGACACTGAACGCCCATGGCGCATTCACCACATAAAAACGCCCCATCGTCTCGGGGTACATATTCTGCCCAATATGCGCCGCGGCTAACACGTAGTCCTTGACGCGGTAGAATGAGCCGAGGGAGACCCCGCGCAGGTCGAGGATCGTGCATGTGGATTCGACGGGGTGGCCGACGGCGGCGGAGCATGCGGGAAGGCGCGTGGTGAGGCATTTTTCGTATTCACATACGAGGTTTTTGAGTAAGCGGTCGAGGGTGGTGAGGGAAGAGAGGACGTTGAAGTCGATGTGGCCGAGTCGCTCGATGTAGACTGGTCGACCGTCCTGTTTGTGGGGATGGGGGGAGGGAGAGGGTAGGTGAATTTAGGATGGACGGGAAAGACGCACCTTGTCTGTTTTGTGGTAATACCGGGGGTAGTACTTGTTGACTTCCTCTCTTTCTATGAAATTAAAGTTTCTGAAGGTGATGAATGTTAAACGTATGTGAAGGGATCGAGATATAGAAAATCAAACACACTTGACTAAATCATCCACTCCAAATTCCTGCCTCCACTTCTCAGCATCAAGAAGCATCTTTTTCGCTTTGAGAAGATCGAATTTCCTAGCTCGCAGAAACCTCACGACCACAAAGGGTGTTGTAGGGTGCCAATAAGTAAACCCGAAACGAATCACGAGCACGACGCAACACACCTCAAGAGCATCGCATCATCCATCCTCTCCTCATTCCACGCGCCGTCAGCCTTTATCTCCTCTTTAAACCTCTGTAAGATAAATGCCTGCTCGGAGGACAAATTCCCAATGTGTCCTGGCTCCGGATGCCAGTCGTTGGAGTCTGTAAAAAGGTTCGGAAATGATCAGATATTCAAATCAATTTCGGTGTGGAGTATGCATGCATAGAGAACGCACTGAGAAGTTTTACGTTCGGTTCAGAATATGCATTTGTGTCGGAGGGTAAGGGCAAAGTGGTCGATGGCATTGTCGTTGCAAAGGAAGGAGTCTAACACCCTCGGAGATGTCAGGCTGCCCACATCTTATCTTATCGCACAATGAACTCCGAGAGTGGCTGTGTCACACGTATTATGGCCGACTCGCTTTAGTCAGTTGTTCACTTTCCACCATCCATCTTCGCGGAGAGCTGGTCCTCCTCTCGTCCCCCTTTCAAAATGCACTTTCTATCTCTCCCCCGCTCTCTTCTCTCCACCCCCTTCCTCCTCCTCGCTGCATCCGCCGTCATCCCAGTAACAGGCGGCACCGAGCTCACCCCAGACAACTTCCAGCAGGAAGTCTCGAGCGGCATGTGGTTCGTTGAACACTTTTCGCCCTATTGCGGCCATTGTAAGCATTTCAAGCCAACCTGGGATCAGTTGGTGAAGGAGGCAGGGACGGAGATTCCCAGTGTAAAGATGGGCACTGTGGATTGTATTATGCATGGTGGTACGTATATTTTCTATTGTAGTGGTGGTGTATGTAAGACAAGCTCATTTTTTAATTTGTAGATTTATGCAACTCGAATGGCGTAAAAGCATACCCTTCTCTCTTATTATTCGAAGACGGCAAGAAGGTAGAAGAATTCAGAGGATCGCGAGACCTTGATCTCCTCAAAACATTCATCAAACGGCATCTTAAGGAAGATGAGCCGCCTTCTCCCCCCAAACCCAATCCCCAATCCCGCCCCAACCCAAAACCAAAACCCGTCCTCAACCCCGCAGGCGAAGTCGCCGCGCTCACCGCCGACACCTTCTCCTCCTCCCTCGCTAAAGGACCCGCATTCGTTAAATTCTTCGCGCCATGGTGTGGACACTGCAAGAAGCTCGCCCCGACCTGGCGCAATCTCGCCAAGCACATGCAGCATAAAGTCACTGTGGCGGAAGTTAATTGCGATGATGAGAGCAGCTTGTGCAAGAAACAGGGCGTGCAGGGTTATCCGACCTTGATCTGGTATGGGAACGGCGCGGATGCGGAGGATGGCAAGTCGGAGTACAATTCTGGAAGGAAGCTCGAGCAGCTCAAGGCCTTTGCAGAGAAAGCTAGTGCTGCGTATGTTGTTGAGGTTTCCTCGCCCTGGCATGATCGAGACTAATTATACATCCTCCATTCTTTAGCGGTGTTCAGGTTCTGGAGAAGGATGAAGATCTTGATCAGCACATCGCAGAAGAAGACGTTGTCTACCTCCTACTCCACTCTGCTGAAAACACCGAAATTCTCGTATGTTTCTACCTCACCCCCATTTTCCCTCATGCTCACCTATACCCTCTCTTCTTCTTCAGGACACAATACGAGAAGCTTCCGCCCCACTACTCGGCTCACCCCAAATATTTGCCTCATCCTCCCCAGCCCTCTACTCCAAATACTCCCTCACCCCATCCTCTTCCTCCTCCTTCACCCTCCTCGCCATCAAAGACCACGACTCCTCCCCAGTAGGCGTCACATCCACATTCAATGGCCTATCATCCTCCCCCGCCCTACGCTCGTGGCTCTTAACCCACCGGCTCCCCACGAGCACCGAGCTCACACAGGATACATTCCAGAGCGTCATGAACGCGCCGCATAAGCCCCTCGTGGTAATCTTCGCTGCTCCGGATCGCCCGGGAGTCAGGGAGAAGGTGATGCAGCGTTTAAGGGACGTTGGGGGGAAGTGGAAGGTGCGGAATGGGAAGGGGAAGAGTGGGACTGTGGAAGAGGAGGAAACGGAGGGGAGACAGGTGGTCTTTGCGTGGATGGATTCGGAGAGGTGGGAGGATTGGATGAAAAGTATGTATGGAATTCAACCGGTTGAGGGCGGTGTGGAAAGTGTGGAGGATACGAGGGTGGTCATTGCCGATCATAGCGTACGTCTTAACCAACGTCCATTCACTTGATCCTATCATATCTCAGGCGTTCATTCATACTAATTTCTTTCTTTTTTCTCTCGTGTAGAGATTGGTCTACTACGACACCGACCACGCAGGGAACGCTATCAAATACACGTCTTCGCAGAGTATATTCGCAGCTATCGATGACGCGGTGGCGGGTAAGACGCAGTATAAGCACTCAGAGGGAATCATCGAGCGCATAGCACGCGTAAGTCTCTTTCTTTCTCTCCTCCCATCCCAACCTCCCTATCCTTCCCTTCCCTTCCCTTCCCTCCCCCCTCCTTCTCAATCTCTCTCAATGATACCCAAATCTTTCCCTTCCATCTTACAGTACCTCAACAACAAACTCACCTCCGTCGAAGAATTCGTAACCACCCAACCGCTCCAAGCCATCTTCTTCCTCATCATCGTCGTCGGCGTGGTGTTTTATATCTTGAGCAGGGTCGTGGGGAATGACGTGGTCGTCACGGCTGGGGAGGCGCAGCAGGTATGGAGTAAGCAGAAGGGGAGGAATGGGCGGTTGGATTGATGTATTGGACTTGGGGGATGAGATTACGTTAGTGGTATTGGTATTGGTATTTATTGTGGTAAAATCTGGATAGCAGCGTATCTATATCTATGAGGTATAACAAGTCTCCGCGTAGTCGTGAAAGTGGGATGGGACTATTAGTCGAGTTGTAGCAAGAGAAAAGCAGAGACTAAAAGAAAGGATTAAGTTTAGAAAATTGGAAAGAAAGAGACGTGAAAAATGACAACAGAGGGATTCGAACCCTCGCCCTTTCGGACCAGATTAATTTCAAATGCTGAAACCTGATTCTGGCGCCTTAGACCACTCGGCCATATTGCCTTAAGTGAAAGGCAAATGTTGACCTACAGTATGATTGTATCAAAGGTCGAAAGGAAATGCTTCGGGAGAAGAAAAAGAGCACATTTTTCCTGGTTTAACTAGCCGCAATGTATGCTCATTTATAGTACGACCGACCCTCAAGCACTCGGGTCGTTGGAGCAAAAATAGACTCGGTTTCGCTACAAACACGATTTGTCGCCCATGAAAAAGTATCCCCCATTATACTGCCCTCTGAATGATTTGGTGAGCTCGCCATTATGAGACCTGAGGTAATAGGAAATCCAGTTCATCTTTAGGTCGACCCACACCAGTATCTGTTCTCAACGATGGCTCATGAAAATACGTCGCTTCCTCGTACTCGCCGGTAGAGCACGGCCCTCACCCAACAAGTACTTAGATTATTCATAATAAAATGAATGGCCTTCAATTCATCAATCTCTATGATACTCAAAATCTGACTGCAATCTGGCTGTACACTTGCTCTTCACGATCATGCATTAGCCAGGCATGTTTTATGTTCTCATGGTAATAAAGAGAGCACGCATAGGCAATGCGTCCGCCTCGTGCAGGATGGCCGTCCTTGCTTCATTTCTGTGTTAAAACTTAGGTCGGCAGTTCTCCTCTTCCACTCCTTGCATGTCTCTATCTCTTTTTGCTCTCAAATGCCTGAAAAACATCCCGACCCAGGCCATTATAATTTAAAGGCCGGAATCGTCAAGGGAGCACGTTTGGAGGGACACAAAACACGAACACAATCAACAATAATACCACGACACATATCCACCAACTCACAGGTATCGTAAGTATATCCCCATCATTCTAACAAGTATTGAACGTTCTCTAGTTAAATCCGACCTGCTGAGCAGATATGTTGCTGGCAATGCCATGCACAATTCTGCCATAGTGTCGAGCCAGGCGAAGTGCCACCCAGGAACTCGGGAGGCTGTCCTAGATCGTCTGGTCAAGTGGGCATCATCAGTTCCACATGAAAACTCCATCATCTGGCTCCATGGACCGGCCGGAACAGGCAAATCAGCTATACAGCGCACTCTGGCTGAAAAGCTCCAATCTATGAAACTCCTTCTCGCTAGCTTCTTTTTCTTTCGGACAGACCAAGGGCGAAATTCTGCAGAGCGCTTCATAACCACAATCTCTCTTTATCTATTCCTGTCACAAAACCCTATATTGAAAATGCGGTTCAGAGGGACTCACATATAATTTACAAGTCTCCCATGGAGCAAGCATTTCGCTTGATCATCGAGCCATTGTCCATGGTTGTCGAAGAAGGCGACTTGGAGGCTTATCGGTGCCCTCGCGTCATTATCGTCGATGGTCTCGATGAATGCCTCGACTCATCTCAACAATTTGACATTCTAGACGCTCTACTCTACATTATCAAGGAAGCACCTATCCCTATCGCCGTGATTGTCGCCAGTCGTCCCGAGCCTGATATCCGAGGTGCTTTCAGTTATGGAGGTCTCGAAGATGTGTCGTCTCCAATAACTCTCGACAATTCTTTCAATCCCGATGCGGATATCAAGAAGTATTTGATCGACACGTTCCGATTTATTTGTCATAATCATCCCCTAAAATCAACTCTCCCAACGACCGAGTGGCCTTCTGCCGAGACCATAGACAAACTGGTGGAAAAGGCTTCCGGTCAATTCATCTATGCCTCCACCATTGAAAAATTCGTCAGTTCTGCCAGACATAAACCAGCTGAGCGCTTGAGTATCGTACTTGGCAATCGGGCTGCGGAAGCAAACAAACCTTTCAGTGAGCTGGATAATCTATATTCCACGATATTCTATAGCATCGAAAAGAAAATCAGGAAATTCGCTTTGCGCACTCTAGGAGTTTCACTGGTCCCCTTCGCGCGCCGCGTCCGAGAGCCTGGGACAATTATTGAGACCCGTTCCCCATCATTCCTCGAGAAGCTTCTGCATTTGAAACCTGGGGATATCCAGATGTGGTTGATCGATCTTCATTCATTAATCGCTATAGGTGAAGGTCACGAAGAAATACACTTTTACCATGCGTCACTTTCGGATTACCTCCGTGATTCCTCGAGATCTGGCCAGTTCTACATCAGTGTACGATATTCCCGCCTGTATCTTTTCAAGCATTGCGTCCAACACTTGTTGGAAAAAGACGGTTCAAAAGGTGTGTTTTATTCATTCAAGATAAACCCATATTCTATGTATACGCTAAATATTTTAACTTGATCTTCCCAACGACAAGGTGCTCGAGAGTTGCTTACCTGGAAACCAAATAACTTGTTCATCAGGCAAACCAGTAGAATTGATGCATTCAGGTCTCGTCCTTCATCAAGAGCAACGGGCCAAAGAGAAATCTATGAAATATAGGTAAGGGAACAATGGGTGGGCGTTCAACGTACATACGTGTTCTCTTGTAATGTCAACTTCTATCTGAAGAGCGAACTAGGAATTTGAAAATTTCTCTAGTTAAATCCGACCAGCCGAGTAAATATATTGCTATGAACGTTATGGACGATTCTGCTATAATTTCAAGCCAGGCAAAATGCCATGCAGGAACTCGGCGCGTTTGCACATAGCGATGTCACCTTTTTTTCTGATGATTGTGCATGTCAGTATACTGGTGATTCTTGGAATACTTTTTCTGAGGTTTTGACCCCCAGCAGCAACATTTTAACTGTGTACATTAGAAACGAAACGAAATAGAGGTCGATTTTTTTTCTGTGTCCTCTGCGGCTTCAGGGTTCAAAGTCTCCAAATGCTGGCACAGATAACGGTCAAGCTTTCTGATGATACATTTCACAAGGAACGTAATCACTCTGGAACACTTCTGGGGTACACAATTTGTTATACACAGCGATATAAATACACTATAAACATGACACTCGCAGGTGAACTGGCTGAACAGGCATTACGGAATTTACAATAATGAGTCACAATTTGGACCTCTCAACTTGCCAATCATACACCTTCTCTTCCTTTCCACCCTGTCCGATTTGAGATACATCAATCCTTTTCGATTTACGTGAATGGCACCGGTGAAGGATTGTCATCTGCAGGATCAGTATACCTAAGCAACCTTTAGTAGCTATCGCCATCAGTTTAGCCTTCTACAGTGCGGAAAAAACACAAGGGAACGTACGCAAGGTCTCCGTATGTCCCTGTGTTACCGATGGCTGCATGGGTACAGGTGTGACAGTATATTCCAGTTGTTCAATGAAATACTACCGAAAAAGGTTGTTGGTTGGCTATCCGCAATCTGCTAATCAAACTACTCACCCTTTGGCCAAGAATAAAGAAGGTGGCTTGATTCGGCATTTGGTTCCTAGGCTTGACTGCGAGAGGCACATTGATAACTTTATTGGATCCCCAGATCCTATTCAAGCGTCAAGTACAGGTACAGCTGTAGTTTGTAGTTGGTTAAATTAACGCAGAATGAAAGACGCAACTGAATATCCATCGAGAGGAAATTTGGACCAGATGTCCCTCCTTGACATTATCATTAAGACTCTCCAGAGCCACGGCGCAACTCTGTGCGCCAGTACCGAGTAAACACCAAGTGTTGGCGAAGGTCTGGAATTGCTGATACGTTTTGTCATAGACGGTGATGGACAGAGCACAGACCCATGGAAGTTGCTCGTAGGACGCTAGAGGTGTAGTGACAAGGTAGATGACTGGAGGTTTGTCTTTGAACTCTGCCTTTGCACGCTCGACAAGTTTCTGTCTTCTGGCCTTTTGGTCTGGGGTCAGATTGGCTTTGCCAGAGGTAGAGGAATCGGCGGTCAATTCTGGTGCTGGTTCACCTGGCGCCAGAGTTCGAACAGCTGGAGCAGCGCACCGGAATTAATGATTATCATTGATATTTGCTTCCTGGAAACATACATACATACCCGTCAATAACTTGTCCTTCCTGGAGGGATCAATGGGGGGAGGTTGAGGCGGATTCTTTCGAGACTCCTGGGCAAGTGCTTCGAAGAATGATGAGGCATTGACTGTTGAGGTGATGCCCATGGCCTGGATGACATTTGCAATTGAGTCCCTATCAACGACGATACTCGTAGTCGACATGGCTGGGGTATGGGTCGTGTACCTGTGGATATATTTTCCACCAGTGGTTGTGGACAAGGAGGCTCGTTTGCGGGTCTGTGTGATCGAAGTCGAAGTCAAGTGTAGTCACGTGGCCGAATTGTCTCTCCGGCGTTAGGCGATGCTCTAGAACCGGCGGAAAAGTTCACAGCTCGACTCTGCTATGAAAACCTACGACGATGCCTTCCTAAGATTCCTCGCTATGTCCGATTCAACATCTCGGCCGTCGCACGATTTTATCAGGCAGACGCACTTCAAGTGCTGAAGCCCGATCCTGGCGCCTTAGACTCAGCCATATTGTCATTGCACCCGAACCCGCAAAATGAATTGGATTGTCAAGGGACCATAGGTTATGACAGGAGAATAAAAAGAGTAGGTGGACCATTCAAACTCATTGCCTTGTTTCCTCCCTTTTATCCAGCCCTCAAGCACTTGAGTCGTTACCTCGGTTTGACTTTCGCTCTCTGCAGGCACGATTATTTATAATAAAACGACTCGGAATGCCTTCAACTCATCAATTCTCAAAATTTGACTGCAATCTGGCTTTACGCTTTCTCTTCACAATCATGCATTAGCCGGCATGCTTCATATCATCACGGTAAGTAATAAACAGAGCATGCCTAGGCAATGCGGCTGCCATGTGCAGCATGGCCATCCTGCCAGTTTCATTTCTGAGTGTTAAAAGGTAGGTCGACAATTCTCCTCTTCCCCTCTTTCTCTGTTTACTCTCAAATGCCTAAAAAAACGTCCCGATCTGGTTCATCGTAATTCAAATGCTGGAATCGTCACAGGGAGTGCTGTCGGGGGGAGACAGAATAACAACACAATCAACAATAACCCCACGACAAATATTTACCAAGCGTCAGGTATCACAAGCATGTCGCTATTTTCCGACAAGAAGCGCTGAGTTTTCTCTAG